CATAATAATTTGGGTTCAAAAAGTATTCCATAATTATCTTTTACATAATAATTTGGGTTCAAAAAGTATTCCATAATTATCTTTTACATAATAATCTTGAGCATTGATATAAAATACGATAGTTTTTTTTAAGTAAATTCGTAACATGAAAATAGTTTTTAAAAACTAACTTCGTAGTGCTTTTACAGAATCGATTGATGCGAGTTGCTTGGAAACCCACTTTCTTTGTCGTCATGGCAACATTTGGAGCATTGGGAATTACTGAAAAACTAACAAAACTCCAAGTATTCGTGTGACTTTAGTGTTAAAAAAAACAACTTTGTTAGTGGTCATTCAAGCTAGAACTTGTTTGCTGTACTCTTAAGCTGTGGTCAGTAATTTGTTTAGTGGTTTGGTTGTTGTAAAGTTACACAATGGGCTATTTATGCTCTGCCCACCACGGGTATCGAAACCGCTGAGCCACTGGTGTAAAAACTCTGAACTAGAACGTGTAATTTACTTTATTAGTTGCCAACCACAGATTCAGATTTGTTTTTATGTGTGTGTTTTTTTTTTATTCACTAGACATGTTCCGGAATTCCTTACGCAGTTGCTACACGAAACAACTACAACAACTGTTACTGTACAATCTTCAGTTAGAACTGTATCACTTTAGATATCACTAAAACTAATCTGACCTGCAAGAGAGGGTGAGCATAAAACTCATTCAGAAAGTCCATGATGGTGTCTGCCCGAAGGGTAGTGCTGCACACAACCACGTGTCTCTCGCTCTGAGCACGATGCATACTATAGGTCCCGCCAAGTTTCTGGCGTTCCATCCACGTGTAAGCAAGTTGTTCAAACTGTGGATTATGAAAGTGGCTTAACATCAGATTAATGAGATTACTTGCATGGAAATAAAATATAAAGAAGCTAAAAGAAAATAAAAATAAAAATCAAAAATGCAACTAGCGCTTCTTGTGGCAGCATTTTTTATTTATATCTGTTATTTAAAAGTTATTTACAGAAAATAAACTTACAAAATATTTATCATAATCTGAATCTGACTCCACCTTTTTAATCCCAATCTTAGACATTACAAAAATTATCAAAACAAATATTATGGAACGGAAAAAAACATGACTACAAATTTGATACAATCGGAAATAGGATTTGAGTTGTGAAATTGTAAAGACCAATGAGGATTCCCATACTTGAGATAATAATCACATAGCTCGAAACACTATTGGTTGAGTGAAATACTATAATAATTCGAATTCCTATCTAGCTATTGATAAATATGTATTTAGTAACTAATATTAACTTCCGATCAGAGCAAGCTAAGTATTTAGAGCGAAACTAGAAACCAACCTGGTAATCAATATAGCTAATTAGATATACTTTCCTCAAATTTCTACTTATTAGGATTATAATGCACTGTTTCCTCAGTTGGTTACACTCGCTGTTAAAGTTATTTTTGAGAGTTTGTTTGTTTGTTTTGAATTTCGTGCAAAGCTACACGAGGGATATCTGCGCTAGCCGTCCCTAATTTAGCAGTGTAAGACTAGAGGGAAGGCAGCTAGTCATCACCACCCACCGCCAACTCTTGGACTACTCTTGTCTGACTGAATAGTGAGATTTTTAACTGTAACTCTTATAGCATACCCACTGCTCCAAGATACGGAACACGTTTTTGAGGCAAAGGGACGCGGTGCACGAACTCTTGGACTTACAGTCATGCTCAGCCCCGTATTGGCTGTAATAGTTTGTGTTAAAACATACACAGCCCTGAATCTCTAAGGTTTAAATGTAATACGTCCCAAAAAGATGACATGAAAATCTTGATATCGTTGTTGCATCAATCCCTTCTATTGTTGATAGGCAAGCGCAACGCAGTCTTGCGCCGACTACGTTAAGGGGGTATAACACGTAAACCGACTGGAATAATAATACATATTCTACCCTATATTAATTCACGTTGTGTTTTTGTTTGTCCACGAATTCCTCCCACAGTTTTACAGCTAGAAGGGCCAGTCTTAGCAAGCAGACTTAGGGGTGGCCGAAGGATGCTTTTCTTATATAGTTATGGCGTAGTCCCCATACCTAGGGGGAAGCCAAGGATGGCTAAAATGCGCCTTGAAAGTAAAACAGACGATTCAGGAACAGGTCTTCAGGATCGCTGATCCCGAATTTAGCATCGTCATTTGTGTTCCTAGACCCCTTTAAGATCCCGGGGGCACCATGTTTGAAACTAATTCACACCCCGCCACAGGACGGTATTCTAAAAGTTCTTTTTTTTTCGGGTAGCTGTAGAAGTAAGTTGGTATAATGGAGAGTTGGATCGATATTCTGGAACTTCTATGAATTCCCCAACAGCGCGCGGGCATTTCATGACAGTTAAGTTAATAAGTATTGCGTTGCTTACGTTACGGGATGGATGAAATAGACATCACAGTGATAGGAACAAACAAATTAAATGCTTGAATGACATTTTATTTTTTTACTCAGTGTACCTGAGTGGGTAGAACGATTAGAGCGACACAAATCATCACCACCATAAACAACTGAGATGGAAAACAGTCAGGCCGGTAATCACCATAACCTACAGTAGAGAAGGTCACCACAACAAAGTACAGGCTTTCAAACAGGTTAACATGAAGGCTTCCTGCTCTTTGGAAGTGTTGGTATCCACAGACGCTGAAATAAAGAGGAAAAAAAAGTTAAAAAAATAAAAATGGTGCCATTTCGTTTATTTATGTCCAGAGGAGACATAGCTGTGTTTAGAGAAAAAAACAAACAAAAATGTACGTACATAATGACTAAAACTACCCAAAAAACAACAACAGCTCCAAGACTGTTTTTAAAAATATTTTTTAATAGGAAATGCGTTATAAATTCTCACCTAGTAAAAATCAAGCACAAAAGTGTTACCGACAGAACCATCAACCTCTGGGACAGCGCTGACTGCGACCTCTGGAGAGCGCGATGTAAGTCATTCTGAAACAATTAACGAAAACAAGATATAAATTTCAAAAGTGAAAGAACTAAATGTATATTACGAAGTTGATGTTCGTATAATTATCCTGACTGGACTTATTTGACTAAAGCTACTTTAAGGTACGTGCTTTAATGTGGCTAAAACGTACAAACATGTTTTCAATTCTTTATACAAAAAAAAGGTATACGATTGTGAGTAGTATTTGTTTGTTTTTAATTATGCACAAAGCTACACAAGGACTATCTGTGCTCTGCCCGCCACGGGTATCGAAACCCGGTTTTTAGCGTTGTAAGTCCGCAGACATACCGCTGTGCCACTGTGAGTAGTAAAGAAAAGTTTTGGTAATGTCGTTTCCTTATGTCCACGTATAAAGAGATGCTGCTCTTAATTATGTAATAATACAGAACTAAAGTTAGGTTTCTTACGCTTCGATTATATTAAATGAAACCGCACCTTACAATCTGAAATCAACGAATATATATTCTTTAGTCTGAAACCAAATAGATAATATTTATTCTCAAACCAAATAAGATGTAATATTTAGTCTGAAACCGAATAGATAATATTTAGTCTGAAACCAAATAGATAATATTTAGTCTGAAACCGAATAGATAATATTTAGTCTGAAACCGAATAGATAATATTTAACCTGAAAACAAATAATATTTATTCTCAAACCAAATAAGATGTAATATTTAGTCTGAAACCGAATAGATAATATTTAGTCTGAAACCAAATAGATAATATTTAGTCTGAAACCGAATAGATAATATTTAGTCTGTAACCAATGAGTAGGTTATTCTGAAACCAGTGAATGTAAAATATTTAGTCTGAAGCCAGTGTAGGAGGGAAGGAAATCTTTTGAACTTTTCTCATCTGTGATACAAATATCACAAGTACACGGTGGTTGAAAATCCCCGATTAGTAGTTCTTTGAAACTAAATTTTTCTTCATTTAAGACTTACTGAAACTTATTCAGAGTTGACGTGTGAAACATATGTCGAGTTTGTTTACAATAGCGTTTAGCAAGTTTAAGTTATTAAAAAGTACACGTATTTATAATACCCATGTAGATTTTCTATTAACACTCCAGGACCCAGGTTTCATATACTCTCGCACCAGAACCTAAGTTCAATGTCGTAAGATGGTTGGAAGTGCTCTCCAAGCAGTAAATTATATCTGATTTATTTTTACCGCACATGATATCAATATTTTCAGCATTTCGGGTGGCTAAAGACATTTCGGGTGGCTAAAGACAGATTCAAGCAATAGGAAATAGGGTATTTTTCATATTAAAATTCATTTTTAAAAAATTATCATCCAACTTAGAGTAGAAGAAAAAAAGAGATTATTAAGACTCGTTTAGGTTAATTTTGATGCAAAACGAAAAGAATCATTCGATCATTTAGAATATCAATAAATGGTCTGAAAGAAATTGAACTAAACTTAGTAAAAATGAAATCAAAAACAAAATGAAACTGGTGGTAAAATTATTTGTATAAAGGATTG